GAATTGGTCCTGCTTCGAGCAGGGGGTTGGACTAGATGACCTTCTGGGGTCCCTTCCAACCCTTATATTCTATGATTCTATGTTTTGAATCTGATTACCCTGTAAGGTATTTACCATCCTGATTTCACAGAGGTGATTCTTTTACTTCTATTAAAATTATTCGTTTAAGAATCTGAATGCTTTTTCATTGTTCTTAAGATCCAAGGGTTTGAGTCTGTGTTCACCTATGCAAATTGGTGAGGATTTTTATCAAACCTTCCCCAGGAAAGGGGGTGTAAGGTTTGGGAGGATTTTGGGGCGAAAGACGTTTCCAAATGGGCTCTTTCCCAGTTATATACCTGTTAGATGTTTGGTGGTGGCAGCGATCAAGTCCAAGAGCAAAAGGTAAAATAGTTTGTACCTTGGGGAAGTTTTAACCTAAGCTGGTAAAAATAAGCTGAGGGTTTTTTTCATGCAGGTCCCCACATCTGTACCCTAGAGTTTAGAGTGGGGAAGGAACCTTGTGAAAACCGTAAACTAGGATGTGGTACAGCTCTGTAGGCAAAGAGCAACTGCTGCAACGCTAGTTCCCAATCGTTGGAGTGCTCTTTTACAATTTTACGTATCATGGCTCCCAAAGTTCCATTAAACTTCTTACCACCATCAAACAAATGGCATGGTGGAGGAGTGGCAACCAAGTGATTTGCCCCATGAGCTTCCCAAAGGCTTTCCATAGTTCCTGCCAGAAAATTAGTTCCTGCGTCTGTGAGGATGTCGGAGGGCCAACCTACAAAACACCCTCCGAACCTCTCTGGCCCTTGCTAAAGAAAACATGTCAAGGTTCCTTCCCCACTCTGAACTCTAGGGTACAGATGTGGGGACCTGCATGAAAACCTCCTAAGCTTACTTTTTCCAGCTTAGGCTAAAACGTCCCCTGGGTACAAACTATTTTACCTTTTGCTCTTGGACTTGATCGCTGCCACCACCAAACATCTAACAGGTATATAACTGGGAAAGAGCCCATTTGGAAACGTCTTTCGCCCCAAAATCCTCCCAAACCTTACACCCCCTTTCCTAGGGAAGGTTTGATAAAAATCCTCACCAATTTGCATAGGTGAACACAGACTCAAACCCTTGGATCTTAAGAACAATGAAAAAGCATTCAGATTCTTAAACAAATAATTTTAATAGAAGAAAAAGTAAAAGAATCACCTCTGTGAAATCAGGATGGTAAATACCTTACATGGTAATCAGATTCAAAACATAGAGAATCCCTCTTGGCAAAACCTTAAGTTACAAAAAAGACACACAGATAGGAATATTCATTCTATTCAGCACAGCTTATTTTCTCAGCCATTTAAAGAAATCAGAATCTAGCTAGATTACTTACTAAATTCTAAGACTCTATTCCTGTTCTGTCCCCGGCACAAGCATCACACAGACAGAGAGAGAGGCTCTGTTTCTCCCTCCCCCCAGCTTTTGAAAGTATCTTGTCTCCTCATTGGTCATTTTGGTCAGGTGCCAGCGAGGTTATCCTAGCTTCTTAACCCTTTACAGGTGAAATGGGTTTTTTCTCTAGCCAGGAGGGATTTTAAAGGTGTTTACCCTTCCCTTTATATTTATGATAAGGCTGCATCGAGGTTCATAGGAATTGTTGTTCAGGCTCCATATGCCCCCATTCTCCCTATGGGGCAAGAACCCTTGACCGATTATATCTTCCATAATGCATCATGGTGACCATCTTACTGAGCCATGTGATGCATCATTAGAGTCATATGACTGCAGGTGCATTATGAGATATGTAGTCCTGCCGGAAGCCTGACCTGGGGTGGGGAGAATGGGGGCACATGCAACCCAAATTGCATCTCTTGAGGCACCATGCACCTTACGCAGATGTAGTTCAAAGGGGGACTGATTCAAAGCTAGACATTTAGATTCAGTTCAACAACCAAGCACAAAATGTGTTGTTTTGAGAATATGGAAACATTCCATTTCACTAGAAAAGATTGAAACAAAATATTTTGTCATTTCTGAATCAATTGTTTTTTTGCAACTTTTTATTCTGCAAAAAATGTTATTTCTAATGTTCATCTCATTTTCTCTCAGCTCTCATTTAAACCCAGTTCATTTTATAGACAAAGTCTTTTTAAAAGCAAAGTGCAGATGGGACCGTTAGTGAGTGATAATGGGGAATCACAGCAGGAGACAAAGCACTTATCTTCATGTAAAGCACTGCAGCAGTGCAAATGTAGCACTTCAGTAAAGACAGTACTATGCCAAAGAGAGAACTTCTCCTGACATGTGGTTAATCCACCTCCCCAAGAGGCATTAGCTATGTCAACAGGAGAAGCTCCCTTGTCAACATAGAGCTGTCTACACTGCAGGTTAGGTCAGTATAACTACAGCGCGAGGGGAGTAGACCTAGTCAAGGACACGTGAAATAAGGTGAAAAGCCAGAGAATCGGATGCAGGGTTTTCTTTGTTCAGAGAGAACACTCCTAGGACAGGTTTCAGAGGAACAGCCGTGTTAGTCTGTATTTGCAAAAAGAAAAGGAGTACTTGTGGCACCTTAGAGACTAACCAATCTATTTGAGCATGAGCTTTCGTGAGCCACAGCTCACTTGAAGTGAGCTGTGGCTCACGAAAGCTCATGCTCAAATAAATTGGTTAGTCTCTAAGGTGCCACAAGTACTCCTAGGACAGACATGCTGAGAGAGGGCTGAATAAAGTAATTTACAAAGAGACTTTGAAAGAATTAAATATGCATAGTTTGGATAAATAATGAATAACTAGAAGGCATAATAATTCACTACATGCATTTAAAAAGGGTAAATACCAAAAGAAGAGGCGACATTATTTAGGGGACTTGAACAGATATAATTAGGTGTAAATGGGCTGAAACCAAGAAAAGGGGAGCATTTCAGGAAACTTTTTCTGTGAAGGGGCTCCCAGACTGTGGAGTAGTTTCCCAAAGGGAAGGGGGTCAGAAGTCCCATTAGCTGAGGCACTTACAACTAGTATTATATAAATCCCTGGAACATGCCCTTCAATTCTAGGACAAACCACTTGTCACAATGCTACATGCTGTGGCCGGTGGCACTTCATGGAAGCAGCAGGGATGGAACTTACAGGCTGGTGTTCCAAACCCCCAGGCCTCGACCACTTCATCCAAAGGAGACCCCGTTACATGTTAGCCTTATCAGGCCCTGGCACACAGCTGAGTATTTCTGTTTCCATCCCGTAGCGGGCAGAGAGCATCTACAGTCCCACAGTTCATGTTTACAAGTAAGGAACAATCCCACACTAGTCGCTAACTGGAAAAGGTGAGGGCTACTGGACACAATGGTGCTTAGCAGATCTTTTCCCACAGACCCTTTCCCCCTGGCTGGCTGTGCAGGGCAGAGCCCTAGCTGGATGGGACACATGTTGGCCTGAGAAGTCCTGGGGCTGAGCAGGGATAAGGGGGTTGGGAACAGAGAGGCCAGGAGCCATTGGTCAGGTTGGTGAATTCATTTATTTGTAATGTTTGTTTCCCTCTTGTTGCGGCTGTTTTCTCTCTGTTGCTACCTCCAACCACCTCAGCCTGCGCAGAGGCTAAGTGGGTGGGACGAAGGAGGCTCAGAACACGACTCCATCCCTCACACATTGCTCTGCTCGGCTCCCACTGTGAGGGGGAAAGGAGCGGGAACAGGAAGGGTTTAGAGAAAGAGACTGGCTAGGCCTCCCCTAGACTTGGGCACAGAGCCAGCAACACACATCCAGGGTTGGGCACAACTGCTCTGCCGCAGGGAGCAGAGCCCTGCCAGGGCCCCAGGCAGGAGATTCCGTGGCCCTGATCTCTCCCTCCCAGGGACAGGGCCTTGCCTCATCTGCCTCCACACGGAGCGTCTCATAGCGCCGGGGAGTTGCAGCACAGGATCCAGCGCAGGCTGTGTCAGCCTAGGGTCTGTCTGGAACCATCTCTGCCGTGTCTGACACTGCAGAGCAGGGATGGACCTGGGGCCACAGGATGCATAGGCTCAGCTCGGACATTTGCTTTAGGAGCGAGGTGCAATGTTCCCTCTAATTTTTGACAGGCCGTGTGCACAAAAAATTTCTTCTGTGCAAATTTGTGCGCACAGTGTTTCGCCATGTGCGCAGGGTTTAGGATCTGTGGGTGCGCGCACACGCGCACAGCTTAGAGGGAACAGCGGCGAGGTGCTGATCTGGGGAGCACGTCCTCTCCCTGCCCCTTTGTTCCTATGGGACCCGGCCCAGAATGGAGTTAATCCATTTACACCAGAGCCATCAGTGCCCACGGGAGGGAAGGGAGCTCCCTGCATTGGGACTGAGCACCTGCCTGTGGATCAGCACCAGGGGCATGAAGTCCAGAGAAGCCCTTGGATGCTGAGATCCTTCCCTGGGCCTCTCAGTCCTGCAGAACAAGGGCTGGGAGAAGGAGGCTTCTGCTGAGTCCTGCTGCTGGGAGACCCTCCCTTCCTCTGTCTGCCTCGCTTTCCTGTGCTTTGGTTCTTTCATTCACTCTCTGATCCTCCCTGTCACAGATATTTTGGCTCCTCTGATCCTAGCCTGAAGCAGGAAGCTCAGACCCAACTGCTGGGGAGAGGGGTAAAGAATCTGAGCTTACAGGACAGGCTGAGAGGCCTAAAGTTCTTATTTGATCCGAGCCCAGACAGCCCATCTCTGAAAGCTTCACAGAAACAAGCTGCCCAGTGAGATGGCAGGGACTTGTTGGCTCTGATTGGGCTGGAGCCCTCGCCCTGCCCCAGGAAGAGCCTCTCACAAACCATTGCAATGGCCCAATTTCCATAGGGCTCACGAGGCAGAGGCTGCGGGGTGAATGGAGCATCTATCCCCCGGAATAAGCAAAGACGCCATCAATGCAGGCAACAAACCCCTGTGCAGGGGAAAAAAGCCACCAGCTCCGAGTGCACGGGGGATGCACTGCCTGGAGCTGAGCTCTCGCAGCAGGGAGTAGATCTGGGGGTGCTGTGGGCAGGACGAGGGGAGGAAATGGCTCTTCATACGCTACCTTTGCTGCAGGGGGCACTGTACTCGGCGATGGCAAATTCATCTGGAAGGCACAAGGGAAGGGAGATGTGACCAGGGCTGTGTGAGACCCAACCAGGACTCCTCACACTTCCACCAGGCCCGCGGCAGAGAGCTGGCACTGCACCAGAGATCTCAGGGAGGAGGGGAGGGAGCCCTCTCTCCAGGGGCACTGGGGGAACCTTGCTGGGCTCCATGGGAGGAAGGCAACGGTTACCCCAAGGTACAGCGCAACAGGCATCTCCAGAGGGTCTGTGCCAGGTGCCCTATGTCCGTTTGCACCTTGCCTGACTCACGACCAGAGCCCAACGGCACCCCGGCGGTTTTGTCACCCAATGTCCTAGCTGGGAGCGGAGGAGCGAATGTGCCTCCCCCAGGTCAGCTGGGATCTCAGGGCAGGATCTGAACCCAAGACCCTCCCAGATCCCTGGGTTGGCACCTTCCCTCTACAGTGCGGGAGGGGTCTGGGCTCATGGTGCGAGCATGAGGCCAGTGGAATATGATCCCTCGCCCATAATCCCTGTGTGCCCCACATTCTCATCTGGGAGAGGGGAGACGCTGCTGAGATGGGCCTGTTGTGTCCAGAGATGAGAGGGGGACGCTGTCTGCGTGGGGCAAACCAGTGTCAGGGATGGTGGCGGCAGGGCCGTTCAGGTTGGAAGCAGGAGGAGAAGGGAATGGGGTTTGCCCTTGAACCTGCACGGGCAGTCGCTGAGCAGGCACCGCTGGCGTGAGGTTCTCAGCTCAGCCCCAGGCCTGTCCCCACCCTCAGGAGGCAGCCCAGGGGTGGGGAGGTGGATCATCAAGAGAACGAGGCCAAACACAACCCTGAGCCCAGCGGGTCCCCCTGTGGCTGTGACTGTGGCCTCTCCCCTCCCTATGACAGGCCCATGGTGGCTAACGTCCCCCCAGCCCTGCCCCCACACACACCTGTCTCGTAGTAATCATAGACTTTCACCAGCGCCGGCTTCAGGCTCTGCACGGGGAAGTCCTGCTCCACCGTGAAGGAGAAACTCTGAGTCACATTGCTCACCTGAGGTGTGGGGGGGAAACAGACAAGACTCAGGAGGACGCTCTGAGCCACCTCACCCACTCCTTCCCCATCTCTCCCATGTACCCCCATTGCTCCCCCCCCCCCATGATCTTGCAGGTCCAGCATCTGCCCCCCTTGGCTGCAGGGCCTGGCAGGGATCAGGCCCTGGGGGAGTAGGGAGAAGCCCTGCCCCCTAACCCCCGGGTACGTGCCGCTCTCCCTGGTACCCGTAGGCTCTGTATGTTGGGGGAGCAGAAAGTGCTGAAGGGAAATACTGAGGAGCAGCAGCAGCTGGCGGGGGATACATGGGTTTGTCTTTCCTTGCCCTGGCCTGGAAGATTTCCTCCATTCAGTGCCTCTATCGTGGGTATGTTGCGGGTGGCTCTCTCCTTGGCCCATCCTGGCCCCATGTGGCCGCTTACCTGCTCCATGTAGAGCAGCACGTGGTTGGTGCTCAGTTCTGTGCGGTGGATGTGGTGATGTCCTTCCAGCTGCCAGCAGCCAAGGGAGAGAAGCAGGATGTTACTGGGCCCCTCTTCAAACTACCCCAGAGCCCTAAGGAATGGGATGCTGGTGCATTAAAGGAATGAGTGGAGTCTCTCGTGTGGCCCTACCCACCTAGTGGACTGAGGTGTAAAGTGCCTCAGATTGAGAGCATCTGATTTCCAAAACCTGACCCAGGGACCATGCTGCCACCATCCACCATGCTGCCCACCATGTGGCACCCTGTCCGCGGCTGGCCAGTGGCAACAAGAGGACTGTGACCATGGCAGAAAGCCAGGATGGATTGGGAGACAGCTCAGCAGACAGAGAGGACTTAGAGGAGCAGTAGCCTGGACTCCCAGAACTCTGATATTCCAGGTAAGACTCAGGACCCCAGCCAGCAAAAACCAGACTCCCTCCGTGCCTCACTGGCACTTGGAGTCACCCTTATCCATGCCAGAGTCCTCCTACAATGACTGGGCACAGGGGGTTGTGTTAGGAGGTTCTTGCTTAGAGATGCTGGCAGCTGTATGGCTGGACCTGGGGCCAATGTCCTGACCAGGCAGTCCATCCCCATGGGTGGGTGCACGGCTCTTCTAATGAGTCAGCCCCATGGTGGGCAGGTCCCGACTGGGCCACCTGCCACCGGGGATCATCCGGTTTGGCTAAGAGTGTGGAGGGTGTCGCAGAGTGTGTGTGGGGATGTTATGTGGGGGAAGGTAGGAGAAATACACCCTCAGTGCTTATGGTTGGTTGTTCAAGGAGTGGTGCATTTGCAGCTTGTTTTGAGACTCATTTGGGCTTGTCATTTTGAAATATCTGGCAACCCTAAGTCACCCTGAGTCTCTATCAAGTGCAGCATCAGCTCAGTGTCTGACCTGTGCCCAGAGTGGAGGGTTGTGGCTGTGAGCACTGCCTTCCCTGTTCTCACAGGCTTCATTAAGATGGTGAGATCTCACCTCAGGGCCCCTGAAGGGGCACCTCCCACCATCTGGGTCTCCCTGAGGAGATGTAGGGCCTGGGGTGGGCTCAGGAGTTTCAGTGTGTGTGTGTGGGGGGGGGTGTTAGAATTGGGGGAGCAGAGAGGGGCACAGGGAGATGGAGGCTCCTCACTCTCTCCCCCAAGCACCCTGCAAGCCCAGCCTGACTTCCCCTTACAGGAACACTGCCCCCTCCAGGGGAGAGTGTGAGGTGCCTCCAGCCGGGCCTGCTCCCCCTGTGCGTAACAGTTTACCAGGGAATCACTGAGTGGGAGCTCAGGGGGATGGGACAGGATGGGGAAGGAGTGGGGGATCAGGGGAGGGTCAGAAAGAAGAGATGGGGTCAGAGAGACGGAGACAAGGGCCGAGGGGGGGGGGAGCCTGATGCTGGAGAAGGGACTAGGGAGTGGCCAGGCTGCAAATGAGGGGTTGGGGTTTGGAGTTGACCTGGGGCCAGATACCCCTCAAGTGGGGTTGGAGGCAAAGTGCCCTGGATGCCCACTGGTTGGGGTTGTGGGGAGCTGGATTCCACTTGGGTGTGGGGCAGATACCCTTGGCTGTGGCCCATACACAGAATGGGCCGTTACCTTCCTCACTGATGTCTTCACAGGGATGAATCCTGAGAGCATCTTAACGTCAACGATGACCATGTTGGAGACAGGGCGTTTCCCTGTGTATCTGGGAGACCAAGCGGGAAATGAAACAAAGTTTAATACATCTCAGCACAGAGCTGATGCACCTCAACCCTGAGCTGCAGCACCTCACACCCTCACTGGCCCCCTGTCCTGCCACTACCTTTCATCGCTGCCCTGCAGCCCCCTGCTATTCCAGTCCTGTTTTCCCCACACAGCTCTGCCAATGTCCCTCAGTTCTGCCCTGGAGCATGTAAGTTTGCTGAAAGTCCCTCAAGCACAAGGCTTCCCATCCAATAAGGGGTTTAGTTAAAATACGCCCATCATTGGTGGGGGCAGGAAGAGGGAGCAATTTAAATAACTTGATTTTTTAAAAATATAATTGATTTATAAGTGAGTCAGGTTTTGAAAAATCAGTGTAAAGGTTTGCGCAATTAAAACTTTAGATTACAGTGTGTGCTGAACTAACTTATAAAGCTGGTGTTTCTAAATGCTGCTACTGCTAGGGGATCCTATTTGAATTTTACAAAAATTCTGCACACAAAAACCAAAATGTTGGAAGTGAAGGTGCTGTTCCTACAAACTTTTTAGCAGGTACCTACTTCCAGTCACATGAACAGAGGCACAGGTGAGGAAACTGGAGCATGTGCAGAAATGTTTGCAGCATCAGGGGCTAAAACTGTATTAATTATTATTATTATTAAAAACATTGGTTTTATTGGGATAGAATTTCTGTCACTTCAGATCCAAACTGGTTTAGTGTTAGCCCTGGGAAGTTATTTCAATACAAAGCAACTGTGAGCTTCTTTATATACACTCCTAAGCCCATATTTTGGCATCTAAGGGTGGGCTTTGTAAAAGCACCAAAGTGATTTAGGAGCACAAGTCTGATTGAACTCAGACTGCAAATCCCGCTGAAGAATAATGGCCAGGTCAAAGCATTCAGCTCCTGTGACTGGGGGCAGTTCACTCAATGGGAGGGTAGTGGTGGTTGCAGATACAGAAAGGGCTACTGGCCGGGCAGTTTTGTGTCTGAGTTTGTGTTTCTCCCATACTAAGGATGTTACTGAAGTTCTTAGCCCTGGTCTACACTAGGACTTTAGGTCGAATTTAGCAGCGTTAAATCAATGTAAACCTGCACCCGTCCACTCGATGAAGCCCTTTTTTTCGACTTAAAGGGTTCTTAAAATCAATTTCCTTACTCCACCCCTGACAAGTGGATTAGCGCTTAAATCGGCCTTGCTGGGTCGAATTTGGGGTACTGTGGACACAATTCGACGGTATTGGCCTCCGGGAGCTATCCCAGAGTGCTCCATTGTGACTGCTCTGGACAGCACTCTCAACTCAGATGCACGATTGTTTGCCGTTGCTCTGACGCAGGGAGGGGCGACTGACGACACGGCTTACAGGGTTGGCTTACAGGGAGCTAAAATCAACAAAGGGGGTGGCTTTACATCAAGCAGTATTTCAGGCAGGACTTCACGGAGGGTTCCAATAGGAAATGGTGCACCTAAGTTATTGTTCTTATTGGAACAAGGAGGTTAGTCTGGCCTCTGATTGATAACATGGCTAGATTTACCTCGCTGCACCTTCTCTGTGAGTGACTGCAGTGTGACCTAGAGGAATGAGTCCCCTAGACGGGGGGCGGGGGGTTTGCAAATGAGTACAAAACAAATCTGGTCTATTTCTTGTTTTGATCCACTCCATCTATCTTTTACAGCTTTGGCTGGCAGCAGACGGTGCAGAAGGACTGCATGCCATCCACATCTCATGGCTGCTCGGCGGAAGATGGTACAATAGGACTGCTAGCCATCCTCATCTCTTGCCTGCCCGGCAGAAGATGATGCAATAGGACTGCTAGCAATCCGTATCACCTGCCTGCTCACCATAAGATAGTTCAATAGGACTGACTGCAGGACTAAAGAGAATGACTTGATCAAGTCACTCCAAATTTAGTCCCTGCGCCCGTGTCTGCCCAGGCGCTCCTGATCGACCTCACACAGGCAACCAGGAGCACCTCGGACATGACGATGACGGCTACCAGTCCTATTGCACTGTCTGCTGCCACACGGCAATGGGTTGCTGCTGCTGTGTAGCAATGCAGTACCACGTCTGCCAGCACCCAGGAGACATATGGTGACAGTGAGCTGAGCGGGCTCTATGCTTGCCGTGGCATGGCGTCTGCACAGGTAACTCAGGAAAAAAGGCACGAAACGATTGTCTGCCCTTGCTTTCACGGAGGGAGGGAGGGAGTGGGGGCCTGACGATATGTACCCAGAACCACCCGCGACAATGTTTTAGCCTCATCAGGCATTGGGATCTCAACCCAGAATTCCAATGGGCAGCGGAGACTGCGGGAACTGTGGGATAGCTACCCACAGTGCAACACTCCGGAAGTCGACTCTAGCCACGGTACTGTGGAAGCACTCCGCCGAGTTAATGCACTTAGAGCATTTTCTGTGGGGACACACACTCGAATATATAAAACCGATTTCTAAAAAACCGACTTCTATAAATTCGACCTAATTTCGTAGTGTAGACATACTCTTAGAGTAACAAGCACAAAACAATCACTGTAACAATTTACGGGGGGAGAGCTGGCAATACAGAAGTACAAAATCTGATTGACATTGAAAAGAGCAATTGCAATTAAGAAAATACCATGATTTAATGTAAAAATCCATTTTTAATTTTTGGAAAAATATTGATTTGTATCTACTTTTCTGGGGTTTCCCCTCCCCTTTGGGAGCTCTTGGAGTGACTTGTCCCCAGCCCTAAGGCTGCTCAGGAAGGCCTGGCCCTGTGAGGGGAGTTACCTGATGCTTATGGCGATGTCAAAGGTCCTCTGAGCCCTGGTGCTGTCACACGTCTCAGGGACCGTGTGCACCTCCAGCGCGAATGGCGCCTCACCCGGCTTGGGGAGCACATTGTACCTCAGGCTGGTCTGGAAGAGAATACACAGTTCTCTGTGTCTGTCCATCTGTCCATTTCCTCTGTCTCCTTCCCTCTGCTCAGTTTCATTCTTTTCTTTATCTCTTTTCTCTCTCTCTCCCCATTCCCCAACTCTCTCTGTCAACTCTCTCTCCTCCTCACACCTCTTTCCTATTTTCTCCTCCTCTCCCCCATCTCTTCCTCTCTTTTCCTTCCCTCCCTCCCTCCCCAGCCCACGCACCGTGCCATCTCCATGGGAATGAGACAGGATCCCCGCAGCAGCAGCGTCTCCCTCTCTCTCTGCCCCAAGGCCCTCACCTGCACATAGACACATCCTTCTCCTGTCACCCCTGTGCTGTAGTCCCCTGGCACCTCTGGCAGTGCCATACGCTGGAGCAGCAGACGGTTCGTGTGATCCACCTGGAACTGGGCCTGGAAATTCCCTGTGGACTGCAGGGTCACTGTGGACGCTCCTCCGCTCTTGGCATAGGTAGATGCTCCGTATAGGGACAGGGCCTGGAGCGCCACCACTGTGTCCTGCCAGACAAGAGATGGGCCCAGGCACCCAAGGGGATAAGTTAGCCGTTTCCATGGGCCTGGAGTCCCATCCCGCCAGCTCCTCCAACACACTAATGCCCTGCTCAGGTGGAGAAGGGAGACAGAAAGGTCGGCTTTTCCCATTTCCACCCATTCTCTCCCCATCACCAGCACGTGCCATGCTCCCTATTCCCTTGGGCTCAGATCCTCCAAGGTATTTAGGCACCTATCTCCCATTGAAAGCAGCCAGGTGTCTAACCTGGGAACCTTGGGGATCTGGTATCTCTGATACTCCACTGAAAGGAGCTGGGGGAAGATATCACCCACTCTCCCCTGAAGACACCCTGCCTGAAGGGGCAGCTCACGACAGACAGACCAAGTGAAATGGCTCAGAGAGGACCATGGCGAGGCAGCCAGGAGGCTCAGTAATGGAGTATGAGAAAGCCCTGTGGGTATCAAGCCAACCAGGGAAATGGTGGAACATGGGGCCAATGACTGGTCAGAGAGGTCACTCCGAGAGGTCCCAGCCTCCAAGCACCAGCATGGCCTGCACCTGCTCAAAGCAGGAGTGGCGCCTCCTGTTTGGTTGTCACTCAGGATGGTGCTTCCCCCGGGGTGTGTCCGGAAGTGACTGGCTGCTACTGCTTCTCTGGAGAGGCCTCAGCTCTCAAGATGAATTGACCTGGCTGGATGGGGTCAGTGCTGGGGATGGCACTGCACGCGTAGGTGCTCAGGGCGAATCTTCTGCTTTCCGTACACAGGAGCATCATTTGTCCAGTCTCCAGCATCATTAGCCTGCCGGAACCTGTGGGGATCGGATGTAACTATGCTCCATGCTGTGCCTAACCCATGATCTAAACTGTACAGTGAGGGGACTGCCCGCTCCTCAGGGCAGCCTCCCACGTCTCCCGGGTAGCTTATCTGTCTCCTGCCCTCTCCTGTCTGCCTCTCCCTCCTGCCCTGGGTGTCTCAGGCTGGGGATGGGAACAGCTCACCTGGGTGGAGGAGAAGCCCCCATTGGGATTCTGCTGTTTGCTGATCCACTTTACAATTTGAGCTGCTAATGACACATCTCCTTGGGATGGTGCCGGCCGCGTGGTGAGGTAAGCGAGGAGCACATAGGACGTCATCTCCACCTCGGCAGAAGGAGCACGGGGGTGATAGAAGGGGAGATCTGCCTCCGGCTCCTTCCCGGGCCTCTGCCAGTGAATGGAGCCATCTGCAATGGGAGAAGGGAGAGAAGGAAATACAGATGCTTAGTACATGCCATTTCTAAGGGGGTTATTGACCTGCTGCTGCTGCGGGTGGGAGAACAGAGCCCCCCGTGCTAGTCTGGCATATTGGTATGAGACGTGAAAGGATTAAATAGTCCCTCACTTGCTGGTCTAGTGCATTTATACAAATCTTGTGGTATGAACACTCAGCAACTAATCAGGCTGCCACCTCTGTGCCTACATCCCCTTTATCTTATAAAGGGACATCCCAGGAATGGACAGTAGCAGCCTTTATTGGGCTTTTTGATCCAAAAAATGTGAGGTCACTAAGTGGCCCCAGGCGCTCAAGGCCAAAGGGTTACAGCAGTGACGGTCACACCCCACTCCAGCGGCGTGAAGAGCCCATAAATCCTTCTCTTACCAGCACAGTCCCAGTTCTTCCTGGGATTTCCTGGGACACCAGGACCCTTTTTTGGGCCCCCCCGGAATGATGTTTTTTTTTCATTTGATCAGTCCAAACATCAGGCTTCTCCTCTTCGTTTGTCTCTTGCTGTAGGGAGCAGATGTCACTCTGTGCGGACCAGGGGCCATCGCTCCCAGGGAACGAGTGTCCAGAGCGAGGAGCAGCGCTTGGAGTGAGGAGTGGAGCGGAGCCAGCGAAGACACCGGCAGAGCTATGCTATTGCTCAGTGGGAATGGTACCATTTATTCAGGGGTTCAGGATATGCTCACTCACAGCACTGAGGTGTCGGGGGAACCCCCAGATACACCTGTGTCACTGCAAAGTCAGGCACCGGCAGCCCTGGCCCCAACTCATGTTTTTTAAAAGTTTCCTTTGTCTTTACATGAATATTTCAACGCCTTTTTTTTAAAAAAAGCCACCATCAAACCGTCCCCCAGGAACTAGCCCTAGGGAAAGGGGACTCAGCCCCAACTCGCTGTGCCCTGGTGATGCCCCCTCTGTCTGGGGAGCTGTAAGGCATCTGCTAGTATCCTAAAATGTGCCCCTTGATGCTTCTCACCACGTAATGCTCCTTGGACCAAACCATCCTCTGCCTCACCTACTGCCCCCTGAGCTGCTCTCAGTGCTGGCCCACTCCTGGGCTACTGTAGACAGCAGAGCCTGCGGGGGGTGGAGGAAGCTAGATGCCACTGAGATGCTTCCTCCCCCTGCAACAGACTCCCTCCTCAAAATGGGCAACAGTCCGTTGGTGGTGGTGGGGGGAACAGGAATCCTCCTGAGGCAAAGGGGGAGAGGAGGGTAGAGACAGCCTGGACCCAAAGGAATGGGGAGAGGGAGAGGGAAGGAGAAACCAGGGGAGAAGGAAAGAAAAACCTTGGATGAGAGATCCTAGGGAGGAGGGCAGGAAAGGGAGGGAGAGACATTCAAGGAGGGTGGAAGGGAGAGAAGACGCCTCTAAGACCTGGCCAGATTCTGTGCCACGACAACTATTTTGGCTAGGGCTGTGACTTTTCTACTAGTACCTCTAGTCTGGGCACGGTTATACCAGCATAAAGGTTCCTTTTGTAAGCAGAGTCAGAATGAGCTCTACCCTGACATCTGGTGGTGAGCTGTAGAAAACGACTTCAGGGGCTGATCTCATTTGCATGGGCACACCCACCCCGCCTAGCATGATGGACTGCTTGCCCAAATGGTCACTTTGGCTGCTGTGGGATCCCCAGTCTCTTTATAATTGGGGCAGAAATAATAAAGTGTTGTTATCCTGGTTATGTAAATCAAGGACAGTAGAACTGTACTTGGCATTTTAGGATGGAGGGATGAGCCCTCAACTAAGGAGCACTTGCTAGGCAAGGGACATGGGTTCCAAAGCCCAGTACATGGATAGAGATTGGGGACAGGAATTTGTGCCTAGCAGTGTAGGCCCTGTTTAAGGGCCCCAAAGACCATTTTTCTCTCCACTGTGTAATAACAGAGCTAATTTTGACTCTATTAGGAGTTTTGTTACATACTGCAATTGATGACACCTAGGTCTAAGCATTAGACTTACTTTGGGCTAGTAGTTCTGAGTACACCAGCACTGAGGATCCTCTACCAACAGTAAAATCACTGAGAGCTGTGTTATGTAAGGGGGCCTAAAGACATATTGGTCAGCAGATGGCTGGTTGTGAAGACTGCAACAGAACCCCACAGAGGTGTGGCAATTGGCCATCAACCAAGCAGCAGAGCATGTAAGGTTCCTCCATACCTATCCTCCCTTCCACCCAGGCTGGGAGGTAAACTCTGCAGATGAACTTCTGAACTCTGGGGGCTGCAGTGACTAAGGACAGAAACTGTGAGTGGGGTGACTTTTGGGTTGCCAAAAGGACACTACCAAAACTTACCTGGGGGTGGGTCTTTTGCTCATGGTTTGTTATGAATCCTGTTTCATGCCGCATTGTTTCCCTCCTTTATTAAAAGGCTTTTGCTACACTCAGACTCTGTGCTTGCGAGAGGGGAAGTATTGCCTCTTAGAGGAGCCCAGGGGGGTGGTATGTAATTGTCCCAGGTCACTGGGTGGGGGCTCGAGCCAGTTTTGCATTGTGTTATTGAAAAGGAACCTCTAGATATTGAACCTGGCCCTTGTTGCTGCCAAGTCTGATGGGCAGAAGGGTTACACTTATACTGATAAAAGAAAAGGAGTACTTGTGGCACCTTAGAGACTAACCAATTTATTTGAGCATAAGCTTTCATGAGCTACGGCTCACTTATACTGATAGAATCATAGAAAATTAGGGTTGGAAGAGACCTCAGGAGGTCGTCTAGTCCAACCCCCTGCTCAAAGCAGGATAGATCTCAACAGGAACAGTTCTATCAGTATAAACACCTTCACACTGCTATAACTGTGTCCACACTGGGGGAGTCACACCGCTTTAACTATACCAGTACAGATACAGCAGTAAGACATGTGCGTAGACAAGGCCTGAAGCTCCATCTACCCTGGAGAAATGCTCTGTGTTAGAAAAGAAAATGCATTAAGCAGCACACTGGTAAACATGACTTGGCACCTAGCATAGACAGGGATGGCTGGACTTGTAAATTCATTTGCTGTTTGTAAACTTAAGCTATGGGGTGCCCTCAGGTGAGCCACAGACAGCTAATGTGATTGGGTTGGCCACAACCAGCTGCTGTTTTTCACCCCATCTGACCCTGTGTAGACTAGGTACTGAGTCATCTTTAGCAGTGTATGAGCTAATGCATTTTCTAACACAGTGAGTTTCCTCACCTGCATAAGGCCTATGAGTGTGGTGCTGGGGGAGGAGAAAATTGTGGGGGAGACTCTGTGTTTGTGGGGGCTAAGGCAGGGGACAGAGAACCCAAGTGTCTGTTGTGAGGGGAAGGGAACTTGGAGTGTGCGTGTGCTGGGACCCTGCATGACAAGTCCCATGTGCACTAGGATTGTGGGCAGCTTGCGAGTATGTGTGAATGGCTTTCGGGTGGCGGAGAAGGAGCCTGTGTGTGTGAGTGGATCCTGGGGCAACCTTGCACGTGCTTGTGCATTACTTTGTGCCTGGGGCAGGCTGCAGTGTGTGTGGGGGGAGAGAGATTTGGGGGGTGCAAGGCAGCGGGACAGTATGCCTGTGATTTTGTGGGCTGGGAAGTAGGGAGTATGTGAGAACTTTTGGTGTGGGAGGCAGGAGAAAGATTTGGAGACTTGGGGGAAGGAGGAAAAGAGCATG